AAAAAGTGCCTTTCATGACACCCAAGGACACTTTACAGTAAGAACAAAGATCAACAGGAATAAATTACATAAAGAATATAAAATACATAAAGAATATAAAATACATAAAGAATATAAAATACATACAGAATATAAAATGCATAAAGAATGTAAAATACATACAGCAAAGTTATGGATAAGCGAGTCTAAAGAGATGTGTTTTCAGAGCAGTCTTGAATATAGAAAGAGAGGTGGTGTTTCTTAAGTCATGGGGTAGAGAGTTCCAGAGATGAGGGGCAGAGCAGGTGAAGGCCCTGCTCCCCATGGTGGAGAGGCGGACAGAGGGTACATGGAGGTGTAGTGAAGAGGTGGATCTGAGAGAGCGAGAGGGGATGGAGATGTGTAGGAGGTCAGATAGGTACGGAGGGGCAAGGTTGTGGATAGCTTTGAAAGTGAGAAGAAGAATTTTGAAGACGATGCGTGATTTAACCGGGAGCCAGTGGAGCTGCTGCAGGACTGGAGTGATGTGGTTATAGAAGGAGGATTGAGTGATGACACGGGCAGCTGAGTTCTGGACCAATTGTAGCTTCTGGAGAGATTTGTTGGGGAGGCCATAAAGAAGGGAGTTGCAGTAGTCAATCCGAAAAGTCACAAGACTGTGAACAAGGATGGCTGTGGAGCGGGGTGTGAGAGAAGGGCAGAGACGGTTAATATTTCGGAGATGGAAATAGGCAGACCGAGTGACGTTGTTGATGTGTGAAGTGAAGGAGAGAGTGGTGTCGAGGATGACACCAAGACTCTTGACCTGAGGTGAGGGGGATAGTAGAGAGTTGTTAAGGGGGATGAAAAGATTTTCTGATTTTGAAAGAGAGTTTATATATATATATATATATATATATATATATATATATATATATATATATATATGCACATGCACACACAGTATAAGCGGCTGTGGCTGAGTGGTTAGTGCAGTCGTCCTCCAATGCAAGAGTTGGGGATTCGATTCCACCAGCAGTTACATGCCGAAATGCCCCTGGGCAAGTCACTGAACCCCTCATTGCCTCTGATGTGTGTACCATCAGTGCATGAATGTGATCTAAAGCACTGATTAGTCTTTATATGGATATAATAGAGTTCTGTACGAATGGGTAAATGAGGGCACAGGCTGTGTTGTAAAGCGCTTTTGAGCATCTTGATAAGATAGAAAGGCGCTATATAAGTACAGTCCATTTACCAAATGGCATTGATTTTTGTATGACAACCCAGTGACAAGGATACCTTCAGTGCCAGCACAACATTATGACATCACGTGCGCTGTTGAGTTTAGATTTGTGAAAATTTACAAATTTGCACTGTTTGAGTGTTGTCATTGTGTTAGAGAGAGTAAATGTCGTGAATAAATTTGACATTAAGCATAATCCAAGTTGAAGTGTTAATCATTTTTTGGCATCTGCATTTGGTAGCAGGCCAGATTGACAAAGACCATGCAAAAGGGGCCGAGATGGTGTAGAGGCAGGGCAGCCGGCTTGGGACCCGAGAGTCCCAGGTTCGATCCCCAGTCACTGCACATCACGTGGCGTCTCTGGGCAGCACGTCTAATCCCCAAAATGTCCCCCGGGCGCTTTCAATAGCTGCCCACTGCACCACCTGGTGGTGGATGGGTTAAATGCAGAGACTAATTTCGCCATTGTATGGAAACATACAGTGCTGACATTGTGATGACATTATTATTATTATTATTATTATATTGTAGTATTTTAATTCCACAGCAGAGAAAGCTGTGTAGTCTTTGTAAGTAGGTGTAGGGGCAAAAAATATCGGTATCGGTATCTGTTACCGGCCAAATAAGTTTTAACATACCGGCATATCGGATATAGGCCAAAAATCCAATATCATGCATCCCTAGCTAGAATATATGTCATTAGCCCAGCTCTTCTTGAAGGCAGGTCTAACTTTACCTGCCTACTTGGCAGTGATTCAATGGACCAACTTCCCTTTTGCCATTGGTTACTTTCAAACTAACAAACAAATTTTAAAAAACTGCAACGTGAATGTAACTTGCAACACAACACATTATAGAAATGTAGTGCAGTAGAAAGTACATACAGGTCCTTCTCAAAAAATTAGCATATTGTGATAAAGGTCATTATTTTCCATAATGTAATGATAAAAATGAAACTTTCATATATTTCAGATTCATTGCACACCAACTGAAATATTTCAGGTCTTTAATTGTTTTAATACTGATGATAATGGCATACAGCTCATGAAAACCCAAAATGCCTGTCCCAAAAAATTAGCATATTTCATCCCACTAATGAAAGACAAGTGTTTTTAATACAAAAAACGCCAACCTTCAAATAATCATGTTCAGTTATGCACTCAATACTTGGTCGGGAATCCTTTTGCATGAATGACTGCTTCAATGCGGCGTGGCATGGAGGCAATCAGCCTGTGGCACTGCTGAGGTG